TGTGTACTAGTCAATCATGTGTTGCATTCCTGTGTTTTAGTGCAAATCTCTACCTTCACTGGTCTGTCCTTTTCAGCTCATCAAGTAGGGTACACAAGGCTTGGGCTGGTTGGTTAGACGTGGGACTTCCAAGTCAGAGAGCTTAGCTATTGTCCATATATTGCCTAGTGTGTCAGCAGAGCAGCCAAATGCCATTCATGCATATCCAGGTATCTTGGCAGGGGAGGGGAAAGTGGTTAGGAGTCTGAGGGAGGCACTACTAAGCTCAAATCCAAAGGGGGAGGTAGAGAAGAAATGGAGCCAAGGGTTGGGGGATTGGATCAATGCACAAGGTTGGGAAGAATGACACACACTGTTCTGGGACAACAGCAATAATGGGACACATTAATAAGGATCAAGGTCAGTTCCTGTTGTCTTCACCACTAGCTACCACCTTAAACCAAGCCTCTGTCCTCTCTCATCAGCATGACCTACTAGCTACTTAGCCAAGTGGCCTTCTGCTTCTACTCTTGTTGCCTCACTCCCAGAGTGTATTAATCAGATCACATCACTTCTCTCCGTACCTCTCCAGTGCATTGAACTTGGACTATTATTCAAATGAAAGTTAGATAATTATTATTTGAATAATATCCAATATATTAATTAATATCCAAATATATGCTCTTCTTAGATCTCCAATACATAGAAATTAGATTAACATTCTAATTTCTCATGGTGGCCATCTAGTTCCTACATTACCTGGTCCCAGTTCTCTCTGACTTCAAGCTCTTAAATTCCTTCTCTGATTTACTGTGCAATAGTCACACTAGCTTCCCCCTTCCTTCCTTGCTCCCCTCCATCATCTTAGCAAGCATATAAACTTGTCTCTGCTTGGAGGATTTTTTTTTTTTGCTGTTCTTTTACCAAGAACACTCTTTTCTCTAATCTTAAGGTTGTTGGCCTTCTACTCAAGATTTGAGGCTCAGTTCCAATATCTCGTACTTCTTAACCATTTTATCTAAAATAGCACATATCACTGCCTATCATTTTTTATATATAGTTTAGTTTATTTGTTGTCACTTTTTCCATTGGAGGAGTCCTAATGAATTTATTAAATATTCACATTCAAATGTAAGATCAAGGAGGGCATGGATTTTTTTCCTTTTCTGACTGCTGTATCCTGATACACAGTAGGCAGACAAACATGTTTTGTTTGTTTTCGAATAAGGAATAAATGCATGACAGGCAGACCTGCAAGGAAAGTGGTGCCTGGACAAGGAATCTTTATATCTGGGTTCAGTCCTGACTAACTTCTCTGGCTGTGAATGTTGGCTGTCATTTCCAGGTAGTGAATACGACGAACTGTCCTGACAGTTCAGTGTCTGTAAACATGTATTATGACCACATGTGCTAATACATGTGAAAGTGCTTGAAAAATACACAATTGAGCAAGTAGCCAGTTGCTTTTGGGCAAAGAATCAGCCTAATGCATGCAGGTTTAAGAAAATTATACTTCACCCCAAATAAAATAAAGTGGGGAAAAAATTTTTTGAGGGAAATTGGCTTTGAATTTTTCCAATTAAGAAGATTATATAAGGAAAATGTTCATTTCACAGGCTATTTATCATAGATCCTAGAACAGGAAGGGACTTAAATATGTCTGGTCTTCTGCTTTCAGAAAGGAAAAGCATCATTAGTGGTTACAAGGGCCATACAGCAGTCAGACTACCTGCCTTTGACTCCATTCCTGTCTAGTTGTGAGACTTCGGGTAAGTCATTTAACCTCTTTGTGCCTCAGTTTCCCTCATTCAAAAAGTTCAGAAAATATGACATCTATTTGAAATATAACCCTGAGAGGTTTATATAAAATAAAGAAAAACACTTTGAGCAGTGCCCGTTTGATAAATATTAGCTATTATTATCTTCATTTTGCAACAAAGTGACTGAGTTTTGGAACATTTAAGGAAATTTCTCAAAATTGTACAGCTAATACATGAAGGGGCAAGCCCTAGAACCCAGAACTGCTGCCTCTTAAAGTGCTGTGGCTAGATTTAAGCATTTAAAAAAGATTTAAGCAATTAAGCAAAGTTAAAACCTAAAATAGACATTGGCTCCAAAGCAATGTGTTACTGTAATAGTTTTTCTAAAGAAAAAATACATGCATAGATCTGTATAAAAAGTACTGAAAGAATGTACACCAAAATGCCAATAGTTTTTAGTTAGTGTATAGAAGGGGAGTTTGAAACTTCAAACAATGTTCTTTTCTTTGTGTTTCGCCATTTGCCATGTTATTAGAATTCAGCAGGTATGGGTTAGATAATCAGAAAATATGTTTAAAAGACAACGCAACTACAATAATAACATCAGCAGTGACACTGCTATATCATGTGAATGTGTCCATATAAATCTTTATATTGTTTATGATGCTTTTACATTTTCCAGATAATTCTGGGTTAGACTCTCAGTGAGTTCCCACAAAACCTTGTCCGCTGGCCCAAACCCCATGCTGCCACACACTAATTCTGTGTTTAAGTGTCAGTTTCCACGTCTACATACTGTTTCTATCCTGGGTACCTGATATGGGGGCACTTTGAAAATGTTTGATGGATGACAGAGCCATTGGGATTCTGACTCATGAAACAGGATTCCTAAGGACCACCCTAATTCCAAAATTACTAATATAAGTCACAGGATCTCATTCTCTATACTTAGTGAATTGTTATGCATTTCTGTATTTTATTTCTAACCAAGACTTATGTTGTTTTTTCCTTTTACATGAAAACATGTATAAACCACATTTAGCATTTATATTTCATATTCAAGTATTCTGTGTCAAGCTTTTTATAATCATCCTCTGAAAAATGCCCCAAGGAAATTCGACCATACTACCCTTTTGGTTGATTTCATATCTTTAAGTGATTTTCATGGGCATTTTTGTTATTTGTTAAAATAGTTTATCATCTAAGTTTTAGATTTTTCTCAGAGAGTTTTGAGCCAGTTTCCTTAGTAGAGTTGTAAAGGAGAGTTTAAAAGGCATTGAAAAGTATGTGAATCATGGATTAGTCTTTTGGTGCTAACGTTTTTAACACACCTTCACCTGCCGGCTTCTGCTGGCTTCTATGAGCAAGGCTGTGGGTGCTGCAGAGGCTAAGGTGGCCTGGTGTTCTTCATCCACAGACTGTAGATGGACAGATCTCTGTCTGCAAAGTAGAAATGCTTCAAAGTAGGCATGGGGAAGCTTCACATGGTCAGACTGGGAGCGTAAAGATGAGTGGTATTAAACAATGAATCATACAGAGAAAGTATCGAGGAATTCTGTAAACAGAGGAGCCACTCAGCTTCTGACTGACAGCAGTCAGACATCTAAACTGCAGGAGGAGGAAGGCTGACTGGCCTATAGGGGACCACGCTTGGAGTGGACAGCTGGCAGCCTCACGGGACCCCTACCCTTTTCATTCTTCTTTTGTTTGATTATCTATCTCACTAGATAATTATTTGTTTAAAATGTGAGAACATAGTAACATATATATGACAGCACACAGTTTAGCCTTGGGGATATTACCTAGAATATCTGGGCCTAAGTTATAAAAATAATGATAATGATAATGGCAGTACTAACAAGTAGCAATTATAGAGGATTCAGTCTGTCAGATACTATTCTAAGCATTTGGCATGTACCAATTCCTTTTATAAAATGCTCCCCTCACACTGTTTGTTGTCAGGACTGAGGGAAATAATTCAGGTAAAGTTCTTAGCATGGGGCCTGATCAAAAATATGAGTTTCCAAAACGTTAGCTATTTCATTGTTATTTAAAAAATAATAAAGGCATCTTTCTCCAAATAAAACTCTAAGAGCCTTTAAAAGTTTTTGGTTAGATGAAGTCCCAAGGCTTTGTCATATCCCAGAATTACCCACAGCCTAACTTAGTGCCTGACAAATATTAAGTCATTGACAAATATGTATAAAAACAACACATATCCCAAATTGTATGGATGTGTTTGTAAGTAGATATCTCAGGAAAGAAAGCAGTATGTAGTTTTCATCAGATTCTCAAAATATTTCATGGTCTAAGAACTAATAAACTACTACTTTGAACAAAGAATTTGTCACCGTGTGAGTATTAAAGTCCTAATAAAAATAACTGGGAAGCAGGGAGGAAAAAAATCTGTGGTGCTGTCTCCCCGCCATCAGAGGATTTGGAAAAGCCTTGTGATGCTTGCCTCTGGGTTAGCCATCCAGGATGGATCCCTCTGCCCACCTGGAAATTCCCATTTGGCCTTTGGGGCCATTTACATAAGACTGTGGGATTGCTGGCTATTCCTTTAGCTTTGAATGGATGATTCAATGTCAGATCATTTCATTCTGGTTTTGTAGAAATCATAGAATGTTAGTACTGGAAAGAGCCTCTTCCCTGATCTATTTCAGGGTTTTTAAATTTGTAGCAGATGTGCTACCCCACCCCACCCTGCACTCATGGAGGACATTGCTGATGGGGGATAGCACTCTTTACATCTGTGTCTTTTAAATTGTTCTCAACGTAGTACTGAACACAACCATTACCAATTGATTTAAATTAGCATGTGTGAGAAAACCAGTTTTCCATCCATGTCACGTTTCTAATGTCCTTCTATTACAGTTGGGAAAATCGAGGAGATGACATTTAATATGCCCATGAATTAGACTTGAGCACTGTGGAGTGAGTGATATGAAAGCTTTGAAATAGCTTGTGACTACAAACTACAATCATCTCGCTACAAATATCATTTCCTTTGCCTCTGCTGTTATTTTCCTCATCATTCACAGGATAAAGAATAATGCTTTTAAATGATCATTTACCTTCTTACTACACACCAGTCTAGAGGCAGCTAAAAACAGGCTTCTGGATGAGGAAATTACAAATGATTAGTTTAAATAGTATTCCATGTGTTTTTTATTTTAAACAATAAAATAATTATCCAAAGCCTCAGGCCTTATGCCACTCCTCTCATCTCTCAGCATCCTTGAAAAGAGCACGACGGGAAAGTCCTATACTCAAATGTAAGACACCTGGAACCGTTACAGCTAGCTGAGGATCAATCATTTTCTGAGCCTCAGTTCCTCCTACTTAGTAGGAGGATATTTGACACTTCATAGGAATAGAAAACTGGATTCCTTGTGCATTAAGAGAAAAAAATGGATCACTGTTGGAAAGTAGGTTATGAACATTTATTTATTTCCCTCTGTGTGTATGTGTGAAAAGAAAGCAAATTTAAGTAAGGATGAGAACTGGCCAGGGAAAGACATGAAATAAAGTGCATTTCAATCCTTTTAAAGTATGAATTAAATAACATAGACGTGGCTTCAGAATGACTAAACACCATTGTGGTTCCTATAGCTTTGAGTGGAACACTCCCTCTGCATTCTAGGGCATATAAGGTATGAGCTCTGGCCTAAAGTTTTCCAGTTGATTATTTGGGAAAAACTGGAGAACACTAGAGTTTTTAGCAGACCAGCAGACAGAGATCAAGTTCTGACATGGCCTAGATTTTTTTTTCCTTTTGAGGATTATAAGGGTGGGCAGGGAAGGAAGGAGTGCCAGATACGTAGCTATCCCTCTGCCTTTCATGTACACTCTAAGTAAACTGGCTTACGTCCCATCCTTCTCTTTCCTTTTGCTTTGGCCCCTCTTGGCAATGTGAAAGTTACAGATAGAAATTAGAAAATAAGCCAGCATTACACAAGAACATATTTATTGTCTGAATAATAAAACTTGGTTAAGGAGTTATTAGAATTCCCCCTACCTGAAGTACAAGTCTCCAATAAGCAAACAGAAGCAAGACCCCTAAGTGAGAAAGAATATATTGATAACCTCACTCATAAGGCATTTGGGGGTGTGTTCAAGCAAACAAGCTACTTCTTCCTAATGGACCGGAGCACTGATGACACAGACATACAGTGAGAGACATAGCAAATCAACATATCGACGTGAGTGCCCAACCACCACCAACCTTAGACTTCTTAAAGGTGGTCGCTTTGATTTACACACACAGAGGCACTCGGACATCTCCCTGCAAAGGATGATTTGCATAAAGTTTCTAGCCAATACTCTTACCAAAACACAAACAAAACAAAACAAAACAAAAAAACAAACAAACCTTAAAACAAAACCTTAGAGACAATGGTAATAAATAAGAGAGAAAAAGTGAAGAGGAAACAGGCAGCTTCCATCCTGCGGGGAGGCATGCAGAGCCGTGCTTGGGCCTCCTCAGAAACACAGGCAGCACTGACAGCTTCCAGCGCCCAGGAGAGAAGGCTGCGAGGGGGAAGGAGCCAGCCGTCTGGGTATTTGCAGCAAATCTCTAGGATGGGGAAACTCAACACTGTGTAAAGTGTCCTTTTCGAGGTGGCTGGAACAGGTGTCTCTGCAGTTACCCAGCCTCTGAGGAAAGGTGGGAGGCATGGCTTAGCACGGTCTTTGCAGGTGGCAAATCAATGACAGTCTCATAAATAATGTACAGAAACCAAACCCACTTCTTTCCATTTCAAACATGACTTCAGATCACTCCCCAAGTGCAAATCTGGATAGGAAAACGAACTTTATGGGGAATGTTAGCCCTGTCTTCTGTCCCCCTCCCTCCACGACAGTGCAGACACGGTCCCCTCTGCTTGCAGGACGCCCCATCACCTACACCTTAAGATAATCGTTTTTCAGCCGGCCCAGCCGGGTCCCGTGGCTCCGGATGGTGAGGGCCAGCAGCTCGTATCGGTCCCGGAGCCCCGTGGAAATGTCCAGCGTTTCCTTCAGCAGGGACTTGGTGTGGACCAGCATCCCCAGGAAGTCCTCGTTGAGCCTGCTCTCCTGCCGGCTGTCCTGCTCCTGGCCCTGCTTGAACTTGCTCTCCAGCTCCGTGAGGGACTTGTCCGAGTTGGAGTAGGCATCCCCGATCTGGTGGGACTCCCTGCGCAGGTACTTGCCGTAGCTCTCCTCGCCGTCCAGGTCGTAGGAGATGCTCTTGCTGATGCCCTCCAGCACCCGCCCCGCGTCCTCCACCTGGCGGCCCAGCACCGTGAATTGCTCCCGCAGGGTGAGGCTCAGCAGCCGGCTGGCCTGGCTGCCCTCCCCCTGGGAGCAGCGCCTGTGGTCACTCACCCTGAAGAGCAGCTGGCACTTCTCGGGGTCATCGTTCTCCTCGTAGTCCCCGTCGGGCACGAAGTAGTGGTGCAGCGTCCCATTGGACATCTCCGGGTAGAGGGGGCCATCGAAGTAGCCCTGACACAGGTGGCAGAAGAGACCCAGCCAGAGCAGCTTCAGGAAGGCCATCTTGTGGCTGCAGGAGGACAGGGGACCCCTGGAGAAGACTTTTCGCCGGGACACGAGGAAGGGGGTCCCCTTGGGAGTCAGGGCCGCCTCCCCGAGACAGCGTCAGCCTCAGGCCCCGCTGGCTTGCTGCTCCCTGGTGCCCCCTCTCCAGCAGGCTTCATGGGGCTGTGGCCCCAGCGCCTGGGTAGCAGGGACAGCAGTGCAGGATGCACAGGGCTCTGTGTTCCCGCGCTACGTGCTGCTGGGCGGCTGCAACTCAGCAGGCTCTTCCCCCTGCGGGTCTCAGGGCTTGGCAAGACTGGCTCTGCAGCTCCGAGCTCTCTCCCAGAGTTTCCCCTGCTGCTGGGAGCTGGAGCCTGGAGCTGGAGAGAAAGGCTGGCTCTGGCCCTCTGGTGCTATTTCAACTCCTGGGCTGGGTGGGAATGCCGAGCTTTTCCTTTGGCTAATGATATCCTGAGGATCTCTCTGCTCTCAAATTACAGCTGGTTTCGTCACTTGGAAGCCAGGGAACAAGTTTGGAAAGAAACCTCTCACCAGGTCTCTGTTATTAAAGGTACAGGGTCTCTTTTTCAAGACTGGAAGGGAGACCCTAAAGAAACCAGACTTTGGCTTAAAGGAGAACCTGGGGACAGGATGACTGGAATTCCCACCGCAGAAAGACTGGTTTGCTATTAATAGGTGGGGAGGACGAAGGATGGTTACCTTGGAGAAATGACATTTCACATTTTTCATAAGGATCAGTTAGAGTGGATTTGATGAGTATGTCTATCATTAAAAAGGTTGTGACTATGAAGGCAGATTTGAAGTATAGAAAGTGGCAGTTTGACTTGAAAATGGTTAGTTAAAATTTATAATAACAATACGTTGGATGACATAGGAAATAGAAAACTGATGAATTCATGTTTATAAGTATACATAAGAATAAAAGCTGAAATGGAGTTTTACTGGTTTAGTAAGTAAATGGACAACTGAGATAATTGTTTAATTTTATGAAAAACCATCCATGCTAAGCTCCTGCATTGTATCTTTAACTTGACACCTTTATAGCTATTATCTCTTTGAGAGTTTTTGAAGAATAAAGGGCTGGCACTGTTTCCCCATTTTCCAGATGGAGAAAAAAAGGGACACTTTTATGAAAGGGACAATTTTATGAAAAACCATCCATGCTAAGCTCCTGCATTGTATCTTTAACTTGACACCTTTATAGCTATTATCTCTTTAAAAGTTTTTGAAGAATAAAGGGCTGGCACTGTTTCCCCATTTTCCAGATGGAGAAACAAAGGGACACTATGTTAAGCAAATTGATTATAGTCATAAAGCTATATTGTAGTTAAGATTGTAGTTGAGACAGCACTCACTAAGTCACAGGGTCTTTTAACTTAATTCAGGGGGGAAAATGGTATTTTTTAAAACCCAGCCATTATAGTTTCTGATTTATTAATTGATTATCAAATAGCCATCCTTCAGGACATCTCATTTGTTCAACCAATGTTTACTGAGCATCCTATATAATAAAAGGCTAATATGCAAATTGACTGAACGGCAGAATTACCGATTGCTATGACGTGCACTGACCACCAGGAGGCAGACGCTCAATGCAGGAACTGCTCCCTGGTGGCCAGTGCACTCCCACAGGGAAGCGCCGCTCAGCCAGAAGTGCTCATGGCTGGCAGGCGCAGTAGTGGTGGTAGGAGCCTCTCCTGCCTCAGTGGCAGTGCTAAGGATATCCGACTGACAGCTCCTGGACATCTGTCAGTCGGACATCCCCCAAGGGCTCCCAGACTGTGAGAGGGTGCAGGCTCGGCTGAGGAAACCCCCCTGAATGTATGATTTTTGTGCATCGGGCCTCTAGTTTACTATATACCATAGTCTATTAAGGTATTGTGATTAGAGCAATGAACAGAAGTAGAGACAAATCCTTGCCCTCCTGGAGCTTATGTTCTGGGAAATGGAGAAAGGATTAGGTTAATACAAATAAGACATATTGTATGTTGGGTAGCAATGAAGTTGCAGAGGAAAGACAAGAAAGGGATGGGAAAGCAAGAGGCAGCATTCCTAACATGGTTATTTCCTCTTTCAACTTAAAATATAACAAACACTCACATGATTTGCCTGTGTTTATACTTATCTCCCTCTCCAAGTCATAGGTGGCTGGTATCATTCAGAGCCACAGTCTATACAGCTTTGGGACTGTCACAGTTATTGCCATCACTTTCACTGACATGGGGCCAGACTCCTGGATAGACATGAGAAGTCTGCTTAAGTAACTGGATATTTTGTTAATGTGGTGTCACATGTGTAGATTTTTGAGATATATTAACTGCATATTTTTTTCAGTGTTAACCAATTAATTTCCCAACAACCTATAATATGTTTTAAATATATTTTTATATCTATTTTACATGTATTATCCCCATTTTACAGATGAAGAAACAGATAGGTTAAATAGCTAGTTTCAGACCCAGGTAATTTGACTCCAGACAGCGTATTAAAAAATATGGAACGCTTCATGAATTTGCACAGGGGCCAAACTAATCTTCTCTGTATTGTTCCAATTTTAATATATGTGCTGCCGAAGTAAGCACTTGACTGCACACTTTAATTGTTATCCACATATTTGGCATCATGAAAACATAGACCAAAGGAGTCTTCTTAGTGTTGATGCTTACTAAAAGGCAATGGCTTATTTGCACTGTGCAGGTTTGCCCCACTATCTGAAAGTACAGTGTTTCTATGAAACCTTTTGTTATCCAAAATGGTATAAAGCAATTACCATTAATTTATACAGGAAAAACTGGAGAGCATTCCCACACCCAAATAATAATCAAACCAAATAATACATGACACTTGAAATAACATCAACATGGGGTAAGAGCAGGAATGATATGCTACACAGCCTATATAAACTAGAAATAATGCATGTATGGTGTAGTTACAAGTGTGCACTGCCCCTCTGACCGGTTTGCTGCAAAACAAACATTGAACACTATTTTCACTTTTTGCCTTTGCCTTTTTTTTTTAAGCAAAAATATTCTTCAGATATTTTTCTTTTTGGTTAGTAAAAGTAAGTAGGTCTTTCGTAAAAACGAAGTGGTGCAAAGTGACCTTTGGAAAATCAGGGCATACCTACAGTCCAGCAGAAAACTACAACCTCTTCTGGGTGAGAAACTGAATTTTTGGACTCAAGAACCACATGGCTTCCTTCCTTTTCCCTGGGGCATTCACAGATGATAACAGATGGATTCAAATTGACTGCTTGGCAAAGGGAAGAGAGCTTGACTCTGATTCACTCCACTTCCTACACAATCTCCCCTGGAATTACTAGCCAATTCTATTAAGCACATGTCTAGTAAGCACTTACTACTGCTTGTTCTCCACTACCTACAGGGTGCAGCGTTAAGTGAGCTACAGATATAAAAAGGTGCAATAAAAAATTTCAGTCTACAGATAGCTTGCTCTCTGGTTGGATATATGTGTATATATACACACACACATGATCAGGATAAGAGTATTTACTTTTTCCTGCACTTTCCTCATGTAAAGATACGAACCCTCTGTTACGTATCACCATTTTTGGTTCTACTTTCTCAGCTTATATTCATTCTTGGGCATCTCTTTCATTTGTGTTTCCAAGATGGCTACCAGTGTCCTCGGGACTACAAACATCCTGGCTCGTGTCTACCAGGAATGACAGATTAGATCCCTGGTAGCTCAAATGCAGGTCCTCCAAATAAGCATTGGTGGTCACAGTTGGCCTGATTTCAATCATTAATCCACAATCTAGATATATTCCTTTTCTGAGAATCAAACCCACAACCTTTTGGTGTACGGGGTGACACTTCAACCAACTGAACCACCGAACAAGGGCTAAACAACTTAATTTTTAATAATGGCTATGGTAAACAACTGATTTGCAAAATTCCTGAAAACTTAACTGGCTTTCATGAGCAGGTACTAGTAGGCAACAGCATACCATTTGCACTAAACACTTCATCTTGTCCACTTTTAAAAGGTATTTATTTGTAGATTCTTCATATGTGCACACTTTCTCCTTGGGCTGGTCTACTGGAGTCAGAGTTAAGGTGGGTCTCTGAGAATCAGCCTAAAATAAATGGAGCTGGAGGAGATGTCCAAGCACAGACATCAGAGGACTTTGAAGGATAAGTAGAGGAAGCACCATGGCTGATAGAAACCACAGCTGAGTCTAGGGCTGAAAACTAGAGACAGAGTCAAAGGGTTGGAACTGGGCAAATTTCAGGATAAAGGAGGACCTCAGGAGCTGGGGTTAGAGTCGTGTAAATAAGTAGGGGAGCTCCGTCGCCCAATACAGCTCCTCATTTGCAGTTCTTGCCATGCAATGTCAGTAGGGTTGGCTAGCTCAAGACTTACTTATCTTTTATCCTTTTCAGTGCACTTTAAAATTGCGTTCCTTTGGTCCAGTTACCACTTCAGAGAGGGAAGCAGGAATTCAGGCACCATGAGCCTAAAGACCAGTAAGATTTCTTAAGCTCTGTGATTTTCTCTTGACAAAGGTTTTTGTGATCCCCTGGCTGTTTCTGATTATGGTAATAATAGAAGTTTTCTAGAAAAGGGGCTTGCATGCACTAGGTATAAAGGAGGGTTGTAGAAATGGGGTCCCACTATACAGTCTAGAAACCAAAAGGGGCCTCAGAGAAGTGGAAGCCCTACTCCCAACATCCACCTAAAACTGTCAGACTGAATCCCTGGACCACGCCAAAGGAGAAAAAAGAACAAAGAGAATTAGCCTGGACCAGATTAGAGGTCTCGGTGGGAGAAGAGAGGAAAAGAAGAGAAGGGGGAAGATGAGAAGAAGGACAGTGTTTAGCACATCTTAGGGGGTTATTTTAATCAAATAACAGGTAATCAGTAGTTATTGAGCAGCCATTGTTTAAAGAGGGTGGGAAAAAGAGCGGAAGAGAAATGGATGAGAAAGAAAGGAAAGAGAGAAGTAGGGAAGGAAGCAAGGTAGCAAGCAAGCAAGCAAGGAAGAAAAGATAGAAGACAAAGAAGGGAGAGAGTGGAATAAGTTTTGATTATCTAGTCTGTTATTTATTTATTGTTGCTTAT